ACAACTGGCGCGTACCGTCTGGTTCCTCGCATGAGAAGGAGCATGGCGCGGTTCGGCAGCATTTCTGCTCGCCGGGACACTGGGAGTCGTCATTGCAGGTGTTTGCAATCCCGAGTGCTGGACATTCCACCGCTATGAAAAATCGCCGTCTGCACGTACCCGGCTTCTCTGGAAACGAAGCAAAGCGTTATTGGCCGGGAGCCCACTGGTCAGCCATCTTGAGAAACGAAAAGGCCACTAACCTGCTTCGTGTACAGTTTTCATTTTCATCGTGTGTTTTTAGTTACCCTACAAAAATACAACAATGCTGCCAAGGCTCTATCAGGATTGGGGACGTTTTCCAATTACGCGTACCTACAAACATATCGCCGTCATTGCTAGATGGCCCGGTCACATAGGCGGCAACTAGATCAGTACAAAGAGCATCAGTCAATCATTGTATCATCAAACAATCGGCATCTAATGCGACAATAAGAAAGTCGAGGATGTCTCAGAGTGCTGTGCTAGAGATTCCTAAAACGATGTAAAGTACTCGTGTAATTTCAGCAATAGGCTTTCTTACGACCCACAACCAGAGCTGTTAAAACCGCACACCATTCATATTTCATCCATGGAGCTCAACTTTCATTGCAAATCCAGGACCACATCCTGATGCTTTTTTCTGATCAGCCTTGATTCGTGATAGCTTTCAGCACAGCAGACACTGGGACAGACAAAGTCGTGCTCCAGGGAAAGGACGTGGGCGTAGCGAGGGGACCTATGCCCACTATGAAACACAAGATGTAGGATGCAACTGTGTTTCCTGACGCTATGGTGGATACGGGCTTCCCTTTCTACACAGGTACCGGCCGAACTACGCGCTTGTTCCAATGCATCGCGCAACTCGGGGCTGTTTTCCAATGATGAGCTGTACATCGCGCTCTTCGTCGTTGCAGATTGCCTCCGGCCTATGCAGCATTCTTCCTATCTTTTCTAAAAGCTCTTGACTACAATCCCCTTTACTTTTTGCTCCCCGATGAGGTCGAGTTTTCTGCTTGTCAAATAAACGGCTCGGACGTGCCCTTGGTGAACCCACGAAACCATTTTCTGTCGGCTTTCCACTGTCAAGAGGACATGCTTCACAACTGTTGTTATAGTACTGGAACACCGATCAGCAGATATCGTCCATACTTAGCCCGTAGGCCATCTTTGGTAGCCTTGCCAACCTCGATACAAGGGTGGCCTCTTCTTTCCGGTACATGACAGACTGGCTTCCCAGATTTCCCATAGCTCAGCATGCAGAGGACCCCGCAGTTTTCTAACCGGAACATTGTAGGTCTTGCTGACCTAGTGGAGGCTAAGGCAACTGCTCCTTACGGCAGAAACAACTGTTCGAACCCGGATGAAATGGCATACTACTGAGGGTAAAAGTTCATAGGCCAGACAGGCAGGACACTGGAGACACGAATCAAATAACAGGAAAGAAGCGAGCGCAAACACGCGTGAAGCGCATTTCTAGACCACCTGTAGGGGACAAGGTCAACATGCCCAATTAGGGCATCAGGCGAAGGTGAGGTCGCTGTCTAATGGAAAGCAACCCACAAAACGCCTGAAAAAGGGGTCAATGTACACCCACACAGAACAAGAAGGCGGAGTCATCAACCAGATGGAAGACACGGCCCTCAGTGCAGTCCATGGGATATGGGACACTTTCACTGCATGCGTGAGTTTTTCTCCACTTTGCACGTCTAGTCTGTCGCCAAGACTCAAATGAACTCCGCAATATTTATCCTGTGTCCTTATCAGCCATTAACTTAGCACTATTCTTGAGAGCTGCATATCGGTGATGGCTGAAAATTTGAAGAAAAAAATGCATAAGGAAAGCCAACTAGAATCCGAGCAACGTAAAAACAGCAACAGCAACGCCAAAAATAAAGATTCCGTTTTCATTTTTTCAGTTCCAACAGATTGCAGCACCACTTCGTGGTACTGTTAAGGCTAATCCGTTCTTATAATTGATGTAAAAATCCCACAGGTGACATATACGCTCGGACTGCCTTCTAAACGCTTGAATTGATGTTCTAAAGCATTCGAAAGTACTTATTCCAGATGCGTCAGTATTTCCATTCAACCGCTGGTCACTGCTTAATGTCAGCCGCGGGACCGCACCGCGCGACCTGAACACGCTAGGACGCCGGGAGTCGAGCTTTTTGTGCTGCTTGCTTAAATTTGCGAGCGCGCGTGTTTAAAACTGTGTCAAATAATATCATCCCTAAAAGAGTTTGACCGAACGTTAAACATTTCCAGATTAACATGGGTTGGTAAACAGGATAATTGTCTCAAATATTTTGATCTACAATCTACGCGCACGGGGTCCTTAATACTTCGGTAGAAGCCGGATAAATATTCTAGCAAATTGTCTGATATCTATCGATTTAGAAAGAGCTAACTCGATCCTCGCGACATGAAAAACGCCAGCAATTTATTTCATGCTGTACTTAAACACCTGATTTCTTCATTTTATTGACTTAAAAATTCAAACAGAACTCATCTTGCGGTAGCCTGTAGCTTCTGTTTCAGTCAAAGAATGCAAGTTTGATAACAAAACGAAGAAAACCGTTCTTCTTCTTCACAAGCAAGCCATGCGTAGCGATTTTTGGAGAGGCTGCCTTCACCATTGGGGCTCTTTTCAACCCTGTATCCTCCTTGCCAAGGCTCTGGCTGCACCCCTGCCAGCAGCATATCATAACGGGTGTGCACCAGTACGACGCGGATTGTTTTTGTCTCGCCTCGCCATGGCCCAAGGCTGTCGAATGTGCTTCAGACGTCTCAACATCCGCCGCGCGGGCATGCGATGTGCGTGACATGCCAGAGGATTACCCA